CAAGCTTCCTAGGGATAAGGATAGAATTTTTGCAAGAATTAAATCCAATATTGGATGTAAAGCCCTTACAGTAGTTTCGCTGCATGGTACATATTTATCAAGTCCTAACTTATCTTGTTATTGATGATGAAAACAACAAGGACATCACCAGAATCAGGTACTGAGACTGATACTAAGAGAAATGGCAGATGAGACCTTATCCCAGTCTTTAAGAATGTGGAGGAGATGATCGAATAAACTAGTAATTGGAGTAGGGTTTGATAAATGCTCTGTTAAAGTTATGCACCTTGTGCTCTGAGAGAAAAAAGAAGAAAAACAAATAATCCAGTGGTGGTGTGGGATGAGATTTCATGGGGTGATGATGTGTATCTTGGGCATGAGTAGCAACTTACCAGCTGAATAGTTACGAGGGGGGACGTGTCAAGCAGACCAAAAGGCTGGGGCCAAGGCCAGTAGGTGAGAAAATGCTTGTCATGTTGGAGAATTGACAGTAGTTCTTGAAGGCTATAGTGGGGTGAGAGTGGAGGAACCCAGGGGATAGTATTAGGAAAATGAAAAGGACAATAGTAGGGAAAGAAGTATAGAGTACAAAGTAGGAGCTTGGGCTTTTGTCCTCAGGACACTATTACCTATACCACTGAAGAATTTGCTTAGATTCATATTTTAATATGATCACTGAAAAGATTCTGTAAAGAAGGAATTGGTAGGGAACAAGTAAGAGACAAGAAGTACATCTGGGACTAATTGCAGTAATTCTGGTGAGATATGACAGTGACTTGAACTAGGATTGGAATTCCCTGATAGCTCAGTTGGTGAAGAATCTGCCTACAATGCAGGAGACCTCTGTTCAATTCCTGGGTGAGAAAGATCCCCTGGAGAAGAGATAGGCTACCCACTCCAGTATTCTTGGGCTTCCCTGTGGCTCAGCTGGTAAAGAATCCACCTGCAACGCGGGAGACCTGGGTTCATTCCATGGGTTGGGAGGATCCCCTGGAAAAGAAAATAACTACCCACTCCAGTATTGTTGTGTGGAGAATTCCATGGCAGAGGTGTCTGGCAGGCTATAGTCCATGGGATCAAAAAGAGTTGGACACAACTGACCAACTAAGATTTCACAGTGTAGATATATCAGTGATGAAAAATATGTGCCATTTTTAAAATGAATAACCAAGAAATTCATGATTAACTCTTAAGCTTAGAATTGTATATTTTTATTCATATCGGCCCTAGTGATTACCAAATTTTTTTTTAATTCCCTAGTCTATAAGAGGAAAATGATAGCCAGCATCTTCCAGTGATTTTATGGATAGTCAAAGGAAAAATGTTATTTTATAAACCTTGATTCACATATGTGCAGGAGTGAGTACAAATTTCACGTTTTAAGCCATGTTTAAAGACATACTACCAGAGGGAAAATTTTGTCCACTATTTCAGTACTGTGGTAAATGGATCTCTCTCTCACCTTTCTGTGATTCAGAATCATTTTTGAAATGTCAACACTAATATCATAGGTTTGCAGTGATTTTGTGGTCGATATTACAGCAAAATGTAAGTGGAAACTATAAAGCTCATGTCATTTTCAAACACATACAAATACAAAAACAACAGTAGTGAGGTGACGTAAGGGCATTGGTAAGACATTGTGTACATGATAGTTTTTGTGTGCGTTACTTTCATAATTTGATCCTTTGAGTTATATTTCTTTTCCTTGGTAGTAACCAGTCCTGAAAGATTATATGATCTCTTAAATGCCAAAAAGTGAACCTGGACCTGCTGGAAATTCTGTTAGTGCTTTCCCTGACTCCATGTATTTAACAATCTTACAAACCAAATATTCCGGGCTCTTTGCCTTGCTTTTCGTATCACCGAGAACACAGTTCCCCAACCTCCAGGATCTCATGCCTAATAATCTCAGGTGGAGCTAATGTAATAACGACAGAAATGAAGTGTACAATAAGGAAATGTGTTTGAATCATCCCCAAATCATTCCCCAGCCCAGTTCATAGGGCTCCCCTGTGGCTCAGCTGGTGAAGAATCTACCTGCAATGCAGGAGACCTGGGTTCGATCCCTGGGTCGGGAAGATCCCCTGGAGAAGGGAATGGCTACCCACTCCAGTATTCTGGCCTGAAGAATTCCATGGACTGTACATCCATGGGGTCTTAAAGAGTCGGACACGACTGAGCAACTTTCACTTTCACTTTCACCCCAGTTCATGGAAAAATGTCTTCCATGAAACCATGCCTGGTGCCGATAAGATTGGGGACCAACTGACTTAGAGGTATGCTGGCGACTTAGAGGTGTTTAACTTAGGAAATGAGTTAAATATTTGATACAACATTGCCTATAGTTATTGTAATTTGCTATTTAAAGTTTATGTATGAAATAAAGGTGAATGAACCAGTAGAATCTTCAAGTTCTCATTGACAGAAAGGCAATTTTATATCAAGTATATTAAGACAAAAAGGTATAAAAGATGGTAATAAATAGAATTGATCATTACAGTGGAGAGTTGTGAAATATACCATATATTATTATGTTAATACACTATTGCGAGGCATTCCTTGGACTGTAACATATCAAATATAATTTAGGTTTTAATAAATTGCTGTAGGAAAATATTTCTGAAAGATTTTCATGTGTGTAATTATTATTAGGTACCATCTCAGATTCCAGAAAGGCAAAACATGCATTCAAGTGAAAGCCACTGATGTTTACCAAGTGTCTATTCCATTCTAAGTTTGCATTTTCATTTACTCACAGCATCATTTGGGCTTCCTTGATGACTCAGATGGTAAAGAATTCGCTTGCAATGCAGGAGACCAGAGTCTGATCCCTGAGTTGGGAAGATCCCTTGGAGAAGGGAATGGGTACCCACCCTCGTATTTTTTGCCTGGAGAATTCCAAGGACAGAGGAGATTGGCAGGCTACAGTCCTTGGGGTTGCAAAAAATCTGACACGACTGAGTGACTAACAGTTTCAACACTTGAACAGCATCATTTAGTATATATTATTATCCATACTTTTCAGATAAGGAATTTGAGACCCAGAAAGTTAATTCTGTCCAAGGCCATATGAGTACAAGTTATATTCGTAGAATTCAAACCTTTTTGCTATCTGTGTGTTTGCTATTATACTATATTCCCATGTAATATTATCTTATTCTGTCTCCCAAAGAATAATAATGACTGTGTTGATGAGGATATTTACATGTATATGATAATTCCTGTATAAATATATACATTAATGAAATAAGATATTTTTTAAAGGTCTGATCAGGACAGTAAGCTCAAATCCTTTGACTTCCTAAAAATATTCCTATTCTGAGAACTTTTATTGATGAATCTGCCTGAAACCTTGGGAGGTCATGATATGAACTCTGGTCTAACTAATGGCAGAAGTGATGGGGAATGATGGAAGTTGTTGATAGTGGGAAGTTATCAGTAAAGTCATTAACACTGGGTTTTAAAAACAAGTTAACTCTCCTTAGGTGGGAAAGACTTTGGAAGACATTCATGAATTTACTTCAATTTGATTTTGGAGAAACAACCTTGACCTTTCCCTCTTTCTTTTTGCTCAGATTTCCACAGCAATGCTCCACTGTGAGTTTTATTCCTGGCCTACTAGCCCTTCCTTTTCAGCTGCAAGAACTGACTTTTTTCTGAACATCTTTTTTCATAGAGTCTCAGGCTCAGTTTGCTAATTTTTACTCTGTGTTATCTACTTGCAACCCAGGGCAATTTACCCTATTCTTGTAGATTTCATTGCATTCTAAAAGCTATCGATGTTAAATCTTTTGTACTGCTTCCTGGTTTCTCCATTGAATTTCAGATATATATTTAATTGCCTACTCTGTATCTAAGTGGAGAAATGTAAGTTTGGAAATAATAGGAGTTGTCTAAGCTGGAGATGCAAATTTAGGACATAGCTATTTAAAGATCCATGGGAACTGATGAGTTGGAGAGGCAAGTTAGGTTTCTTATATTATTCTAACTACAAAAATGCAGACATAAAACAATCTCAGTGCTCACATTTCTTTATTTGAATACATGTAAATCTAATTGAGCTATATATTGATTATTCCCAAGTGAAACAAATGTTTGATTTGTTTTAGAACCACCAGTTAGCATTCTGACCAATTTGTACATGAAAGAAGAGATGAAATTACAAGTTGGTATTGCCAGTTCTTCATTTCTGTATGAAGGTGAAATTCAACTTCTTATGCCAAACATTGATCTGTGTTAAGATCTAACAAATGCAAATACTTGCAGGCAATGTGATTTGGTGAAGGTGATTCATTTTGTACACTACAGTTTTATTTTATTTATGTATTTTTCAGTCCTTAAAATATTTATTTGACTGCACCAGGTTTTAGTTGCAGCATGCAAGATCTTTGATCTTCATTGCAGCATGTGGGATCTTTAGTTGTAGCATGCAGTCTCTTTTTTTAGTCGCGAGATTGGAACTCTTTAAGTTGTGGCATGTGGGAGCTGGTCCCCAGACTGGGGATTGAACCTGGGTCCTCTGTTATGGGAAATTGGAGTCAGCCACCGGACCACCAGGGAAGTCCCTACACTACATTTTAAATGAAAGATTCAGAATAGGTGCTCATGAAATCTACCCTTTTTTGAAATATACTTTCATTCATCCCTTTATATGTTCACTCATTTATAAGCCACAAAATATATTTATGTTAGTTTACTTTTTAGGGTGCATAAAAAGTATGGTTTCTGAGTAGAGACTGCAGTGAGGGAGGGAGGAGGCCGTGGAGATACACCCATGGAAGTTTTAAAGGTGCATCTCCATCTGCTTCCTTAGTGCAGTAGGCAATGCGTCAGTCTCATGAAAGTGAAAGTCTCTCAGTTGTGTCCAACTCTTTGTGACTCCAAGGACTGTGAAGTCCATGGAATTCTCCAGGCCAGAATACTGGAGTGGGTAGCCTTTCCCTTCTCCAGGGGATCTTCCCAATCCAAGGATCAAACCCAGGTCTCCTTCATTGCAGGTGGATTCTTTACCAACCGAGCTGTCAGGTGCTGACCTTCTAAGCAGATAAAGATAATCAGAGGTCAGAGCTTCACAGAGTGGTACCGCCAGCAAACGCAGAAGCAGAGATACAGCAGCAAAATATTTGTGTAATGATAATTTGAATGATTAAGGTGAAATTATATTGCTTTTATGTACAGTTACCAATAAATTAACTTTTAAATATTTGCCTATCAAGTAAATATGTGAAATTTTACCTTTCTGGGGAGTGATGAAAACATTTTGAAAATTGACAGGGGTGGTGTTTACCCAACCCTGCACTAAAGTTATCTGAATTGTACACCTCAAAGTGATTCATTTTATGTTATGTGAATTTGTCTTCAATAAAAAAAAAAGAAAAATAGTGTCATGAAGAGGAAAAAAAATGAAATCAATGTTTCAGAATGTCTCTAGATCATAGAAAAAGCAAAAATAAAATCCCCCCGATTATGTACAGAAAAGTGTTTCTAAAGTACTTGCGAAACAGTCCTTTTCACCAGAGATAAAATTTTCAGAACATATTCCCTCTAGCATTCTAAGGCTGAAGGCTAAAAGTATTAGTCGCTTCAGTCATGTACGACTCTCTGTGACCCCATGGCCTGCAGCCCACCAAGCTCTTCTGTCCATGGGATTTTCCAGGCAAGAATACTGGAGTGGGTAGCCATTCCCTTCTCCAAGGAATCTTCTTAATTAAAACCCCAGATCCTCTATTATGTCTGCCTGGGAGCCTTTAATCGCTTTCTCAGTTAATTGCTGGAGCTAAGAATTCACTGGAGAGTGGCTTCCTTGTGCTGCTCAAAGTTGGGAAGGTGGAGCCCAGGTGCCTTAATTTATCTGCCCGTGGTCAAAAGGGCCAGCAATCTGGTAAATGTCGAAAACAGCTGACACAACGCAGCCAGTCACTACACGCAGAGACAGGTGGACGAAAGACTGCTAAAGAGATTTCACCCCTGAGAGCTACGGCGGCCGGCGGCGGTGGTGGCTGCATTTTGTGAACATGTTGCTAGCAAGCTTTAAGATGTGCAGGGTGAGCAGGTGGGTTGCGCCTGACCCTCCATGTCCCCTGGCAGAATTACAGAGAGCTCTTCTCTGGGGAGAAGCTGCCTGTTTTGCAGGTAAGGGTGGATTTAATCAGTCTTTCCATCTGTCCCCTTTTCCAAAATCCTTTGCTCAGTGTGGAAGATCTCTGACATGTAGAGGCGTGAGCAGTGGGCAGGATGTCACTGTGCCCCCTTTAGCTTGGTAGGTGAGGGGACACACTCTTGTTTAATGGGTAATGGCTCCTCTCATTGTCTGTCTCCCCCACCTTATATTTTCTTTTCTTTAAATATTTGCCTATATGTTGGTTTTTCTAAATAGACAATCACATCTGTAAACAGTAAGGTTTTTGTTTTAGCCCCAGCTCCCAATTCCTCACAACTCTTGCTCTCACATATTGGTTAGAACTACCATCTTATTGTTGAGCCACTCAGTCCTGCCTGACTCTATGTGACCCCATGGGCCATAGCCTACCGGGAAGTCCATGGGATTCCCCAGGTTAGAAGGAATGGGTTGCCATTTCCTTCTCCACTGTCTCCCCTTTTTAATTTGTCCTATCCTTCTGCCAGAATGACTGAGAATGTAAATTCTATATAATTAGAAAATATGTTCTGTTACTGGAATGTGACTTTTGTCTTAAGGTCTTCCCTCTTGTATACTTCTGCCTTCAATATTCAGTACTGTTTATGGGTTTCGAATGAAAGAAAACATAGAGACAGTGGGTGTACTCGACTCCAACTTTAGAAAGCCCATGGTTGCCCTTTGCTCTTGTCTCCTGAAGAGCGTTTGCTCCTTATCGCACAGACTCAGAGCTGGGACATTTTGCTGCCACGATAAAAGAACCCAGTTACTTTCTCTGAAGGAAACTTGATGGCATTTGACATTGTGATATACACGGATACATATGTTTTGCCCCCAGGGAGGGCACTGGAATGTTTGACAGTCCTCCACATGTTTTCAGATGTTGAAGTTCATGAACTCCAAAGGACCAGGTGTCAAAATGGTTTTGTTTATGTGGTTTCAGAAAATTACAGCCTAAATGCAAATACAGTCTAGGCCATCCTGATTTGCCGAAGTATGTGTAGGGCTTACTAAGAAATTACTTAATAAATGTAAACACTACAACTTAGAACTTGGTAGATAAGTCTAAATTGGAAGTACGTCATAGTTTAGTTTCTCTGTGACTTTCTCAATGTGTATGAAAACACGCAAAGTAGTCAGATTCCAAATACTTGAAGATGAATATAACAGCCCAGATCCTAGAATCTAAAGAATGTGATTAATATGGCACGCACTGAAATGACAAGTTTCCCCCAAAGAGCAGATAGTTTCATAGAATATCTTTTATTCAACAGCGATCCTTAAACATGACTCAGTAAGATTAATTCTGGGATTCAAGATGAAGAATAACAAGAGGGGATGCTGAAAGTTAATGGTGGATATTTTTTTCCATATTGAGTCAACCAATTTTATAGGAAAGAACAGTATCCGCCAAATTTAAAGAAAACAAAAAAACCCCGAAATAGTATGGTTGCTTTGATTCAATTGGCACTGAGGTTTTCTAAATAAAGGAAAGAACTGGGTGGACATATATTTGTGGTGAGAGCATAGTTTTGGGGTTTTTCTGTTGTTGCTCTTTTGGTAGGTGTGATGGATTTCTTTTGCTGTCATAATCTGTGATGTGAATTGAATGTGGTAGAAGTGATGGCCCATACAAGTATTTGATCTATATGTATTTGTGTTTATGTGTGAATAGAGGTTATTTGCTTTTCACGTGAATGCAAGGATTTAAATAGTAAGGAGTACAGGAGCAGTTCATTTTGCCTGACAAAGCACTTAGCTTTGAGATTAGTATATATTTTTCCAGGGCCCCAGTTCTCTCATGTATTTTAGAGCAGGTCTGCTTATGATAATACATAAATATTTTCTCATGGTAGTGATTTAAGATGCTAAAGTCTTTAAGAATTAGTCATGTAAGTATATATGAAATTCCTACACTCAGTTTAATGCAACCTATTTAAAGTAATATGAAGACTACTGTTAAGTTTTGGTGAGAAATCTGAATATTCTAGTGGCTACTGCATTAAAACTGAAGACAGGTAATGTGCAGAGTGTAGACTGCTACTGTATTATCTAAGTTATGGGTATGAAAGTTAAAGTATATTTATCTACACATGCTACAATAAATCTTAACAGTAACTGGTATGCAGAGAGCATTTGAAAGGTAGTCCTGGCCAGACACAAGTCATTTGGCAGTGGCCTTGCCTAGTATATATTTTCAGGCCTGTCTGCACAAAGATGCTGGCACATTAGCCATGATTTCTATTCCAGGTGATGGATTTCTATCCAAGTAAGTGAGTGACTAAATATTTTCCGGTGGAATCTAGGCACCATAAAATCGCTGAAGCCAAATAAAAAAGTTGTCGACCTTTCTAAAAAGTAATTATAATAGCTTTGCGTACCACTGTGACAGAAGAAATATTTCCACTTAGATCACCAAACGATGGTATGAGTTGAACCTAATTAGAAAAAAAAAAAAAGGTTATACAAGTATACTGTTAATATTTCTTTTTACCAACACTAATGAATGTCTTACTGAATTTTTATGAATTTCCAAAAACCCCCTACTCATTAGCAACAACTGAATACATTGATTCCGCATCCAGCTCTATCAAACAAAAGAAATCCAGTCTGAACCCACTGAAAACCCATGCCATCATCACTTCATCTGATTTATTCTACACAGTACCCGTTGAGGAACTGAACACTTTACATTAGTTTATTTGTGTTACCCTAAGCAATTAGAGATGAATATGCCTTCCCAAGCCCAAGCGATACAAATGCAAGGGTCTTTTTGTGGCAGGTTGTTTAAATTTACAACATAAAGCTAGCATTTCCATCTCCAATAAAATCCAAACAGACATTTAATTTTGGTGCATGACATTTCTGACTAAAATAGAGCCAGAAAAGGCTAGGACAGCTCTTATTGTTCATGAATCTGAACAAATTGGGGATCTGTGAATTTATAGCCAGGTTTTTCTCTACTATTGTTTAAAATAGCACACATGGAAAAAACGCCATGGGTGTGTTGTAATTCAGCTTTAATGATGTAACACTTGGTTTCAGTCAATTGTTAGAGGGCTGCAAGTGACATTGGTTTTGTGCTTCAGACGTTGCATGTAACTTAGCAATTATAGTAAGGCTTTCAATAATGGCTGTTGGCGGGATATCTGCAAGTGAAGTCATAGCAATTTTGAAAGAGAAAGCTAATAAAAATACACCTGCTCGTAGTGGAAACTGAGCCTTTAATATCTCTGCTTTGAAGTTGGGTGAAGCCTTTGGTATTAGCTAACAGATATTATGATGTAGGAATAATCCGCTGCCCCAGGGGAGAGCAAAGTTGAAGTTACAACAGATTGCTATTTTCTAATCACCTACTTTTCAATCAGTCTTATATCACCAAAGGAGGATAGAATGCAGGGATTTTTTTCCCTGAAAAACCCAAGCTACTGTTTGAAAGAAAATAACTGTACTTGTCAATACATAAGCTAGCACATACACATTCCTTAAACTAGTCGATAAGGGTGTAAACACATTTTAATGTGTTTTTGTTGTCAGAAACTTAATGGGAAATTTTACATTCCCATATATTGCTTCAAAATGATGCTCCAGGTTTCAGCTTTGCTTTGTGAGATTTTCTTCTTTTCCTTGGCCACTTTTAAAATAGTTTATTTATTCATAGCTCTTTACATTAAAAAAAGAGAGAAAATAAAGGTGCTTATGAAACTTCCCTTTATATTACTTGGAGCATTACTGCTCCCAGGAATCTTCTTTGTGCTGTGGGAAATTAATTCTCTCTGTTGCTCACTTGCTTACTTCCGTTGCACTTACTTGGGCTTACTTATCATCGATAGCCAAAAACTTTCATGGGATATTTAAAATATTGAGTCCATAGTAAATGCTGATTTATTGAGATCACTGGAGGAAGAGATACTTAAGGAATAAATACAGTTGCAGCTTGGAATTTCTGCCCAAAAAATAACTATTAAGTGACATACTAGAATTACTTTAACCACTTTCCTGATACTTAACTGCTATAATATTTTTTGACTATTGATTGTGATGTCTAGATTAGTGTAAAATAATTTGCCCAATCAGTATGCTTTAAACATGGATGGTTTTCTGTAGTCATTATCTTTACAAGCGAATGTTAGAACCTTGGCAGTAACTTTGTTTTTCTTCTCTTTTTTTTCAATTCAGTAGTGCATCTCAACAGAGAGTATCAAGTAACGCAAAGGGTATACATTAGCACTTGTCAGGGCCACATCAACATGCTAAACACATGGAAACTTACTACCAAGTTCAAAGAGAGAATATGTGCTCTAAACCCCTTGTTAATGTGGTAAAGGAATCATCATCAAGGTGTTTTGTTGAAAGGAAGTTACATTTTATTTCTCATTTATGAAATGGACTTTGATGTTCCTTTAAGCCAGAGAGATCTTTTCCCCAATTCATTCACTGTATCAGCTAAATGCTCTCTCATTAGAGAATATTGCAGAAAAGGTCTTTTTTGAGAGGAAGGAGTAGAGTTGTTTTCTCTATAGAATTTCAATGTGTAATCTGCATTTAACTTTGAAAGTGGATTGTTGTTGAGTCTTGACACCTGCTGGGATAAGTATCCATTTCAGGCTACAGAGTGGTGCTCTGAAATAAATATCAGCAAGCTTGTTAAATTTTGTCAGCTGTGTCGTCACATTAGTACAAGATATTATGGTAAAATATAAATTCAATTTTCTGGTTTTATGTTTGGGCTCTAAGTTTTTCCTTCTAGTATGCATCAAGAATTTCTATTGATTCCAGAGATATTGCCAAAGACATTCCAAGGGAAAAAAATACAGACTAATGTTTCATATGCCCAGAAAGCATCATGTAATTTAGACCATAATGTGAGACACTGATATCATTCTGTAATATCAGAATCAAGATGTGAAATATAGTTCTAACTATCATTATGTATCAAAAAACTAAAATGTTTTCATTTTGGTAATGAATATAAATATCAGTCATTTTGATAAGCTATTTTATTTTGAATAATAATAATTATAAGCCCCTACTAAGTACTAGGCACTCTCTTGGGACCTTGGCTTCATTATGTTCATCTAATTTTATATTAATTATTCTTGGAATTATACAGAATGGCTTTGTTTCATATTTTGACTTGCCCAGAGTCACACAACTAGTGAGTGGAAAAATCAGGATACCAGGTTAGAACAAGTCAGAAGCTGGAGCTGAAGCAGGCAAGAAAAAATAAGTTGAAATTTCAGAAAGAGGATATAATGAGAGAATACATTAGAGAAAAATGTAAGTGAAGTACACCAAATCCAGTCCCTAAAGACATGACTTATTGAGAGTTCCTGATGAAATAGATCTTGACCTCAGCAGTGCTTTTGACAGTCTAAATCCATTCAATTTCTCATATATTGTTGATTTTTTATGATTAAACCACAGCCAGGCACAGAGTAAACTGCTAGTGATAGGGGAGTCCTTATAGGGAGGAAGACATCAGCGTCCAGTGAAGGCATGTATTAATATCACATTACCTACTGCAACAGATAAGCTCCGAGAATCAGCAGATTACCCCAGCAGAAGACCATCTTTCGCTCGTGAAAAGATTGATGTCAGTTTTTTGTTTGGTGCATAGTCTTCTATGTGGTCTTTTAGGATTCTAGGCTCCTTACATCTTATGGTTTCACTTCCCTCTATTCTGAAGGAAGAATGGAAGGAAAGGAGAAGATTGTCCACAAGAGGGCTTTGGGCCATGGCGGAGGCAGCTCATGTGACCTGTGCTCCCATTTCATTGGCAGGACTTAGTCACATGACCGTTCTTAACAGGGGGCTGAAAACACAAGCTTGCCTAACAAGAGACAATATATTTTAGTGAGCGCTTAGTCTTAACTGTAAGTTGCAGAAATCCATATGGTAGCACAGCCTGTCGAGACATGACCGCTCTACCTTTTTTTCTTTCTCTGTTTTTAAGCACCATCCCCTCTAAACACAAAATTATAATAGCACCTATCACAATCTTTCAAAGTGCCTGCTGTGTGCTGGTCACTATATTAACCTCCTGGTTTATGTTCCTTCATTTTATCCTCATAAATTCCATATGATATGTCACTCATGTTATTTTGGTCACATAACAAGTTATCCTAAACCTTATTGGCTTAACGATAATAATCATATGTATTCTCACCACTCCTGTTGGTCAGGAATTCAGGAAAGGAATAGCTGGGCGGTGCTTACTTAGACTCTATCTCTCCTGCAGTAGCAGTCATGTTGGGTGAAGTTGAAGTTATCTAAAGGGGGCAGGAGAAGAAGGGGACGACAGAGGATGAGATGGCTGGATGGCATCACTGACTCGATGGACACGAGTTTGAGTAAACTCTTGGAGTTGGTGATGGACAGGGAGGCCTGGCGTGCTGCGATTCATGGTGTCGCAGAGTTGGACACAGCTGAGCAACTGAACTGAACTGAACTGAAAGGCTTGATTAGGACCAGAGATCTCACTTCCAAGGCTCAATAGATGAAACTGGGCATGGACTTTGTAACTCAGTTTCTCCTTGTCAAGCTCATCTTGTTTGTCTAAAGGTTTTTAAAATGTGACTTCTGGGTTGCCCAGAGTGAACAATCTAAGAGGTTAAAGGAGAAGCTGTAATATATTTTATGACCTAACTTAGAAGTTACACAATATAGAAATTACACCATAAATGAGTGTCAAAATTATTTGTCTTACATACAGATTGTATTACAGAGTCACCAATTTCTTTTAGTATTGAAATTAACAGAAGAGGAGGGGTTAGGTGAGGCTTATTGTTAGTGTTGAAATTCAACAGGTACCAAAACTCCCTTTCTGAAACCAGGACCATTGCTCCTGTTTTTTTCTCCTTCCTCAAAATAAAGTTAACTTTTATCAGTGGTTCTAAGTGAAGCACAATTAAGCTGTGAGCCTGAGGTTCTGTTTTCTTAGACTATTGGTAAGTAGGTTGGCAGATGTATGTTTTAGTTTTATAACATTGTGAAATAATACAGTTCATCATTGTGATTACAGTAAAAAGAATGTGATGTTTAAAAATTAATAGACTCAAAAACAGTTAAGAAGTTCTATAATTTGTCATTAGATTTAATGTAGCAAAAAAATGGTGCTATGTAATTCCATATATTAGTGATATTCCCTCTCCACCAGTTCATAAACCACTTAAGCACAAGATATACGTCCTATTTTATTTTCAGTCTCTGACATTAACTACAAGGTTCATACTCTGTTACCTTTAGTAAGTTGCATCTTTACTCTCTACCAAACTCAGCTAGAATACATTCATGGAAATGAATCCCCCTTATGCTTCTGCAACAGATAACATCCTAACTGCCAGAGGTGGATTTGAATCCAAAGCTGCCTCTTCCTATCCATAATCACTTTTCCCTTTTCTGTAAAATGGGGAGGTGGGGACACTGGGTTTGAGAGGATTAATAGGATAATGAAGAGAACATATCTAAAACAGATAAAGTGTCCACATACGTGCTAAGTTGCTTCAGTCGGGTACAGCTTTTTGTGACCCTATGGACTGTAGCCCGCCAGGCTCTTCTGTCCATGGGATTCTCCAGGCAAGAATACTAGAGTGGGTTGCCATGCCCTCCTCCAGGGGATCTTCCCAACCTAGAGGTCGATCCTGTGTCTCCTGCAACTCCTGCATTGCAGGCGGATCTTTACCACTGAGCCACCTGGGAAGACCCCCAAAACAGATAATAGTGATGACTATCGTGTCAATAAATGGTAACTATATAAAAATGGTATCAGCTAGTTGCTAGATGATTCTTCTCTGAAAGTAAATATATATTTGTTTTGTCATATTCATTTCAGAAAGAAATATTTTTCCATTAAGCAAATATTCATTGTTTATCTGGCCCCAGGCTGGTTGATTATAGTCAGTGTGTCTCATCATACTTTTTAGGAACTTCTGGTTAGCTGTGTAAGTTTTCTACCTGTGCACTATCAAATTTAACTGGAAGTCCTCATCACCTCTCTTCTTATATTTCTGAAATTTTTAATAACTTGTTCTTATTAGCTGTAATTTAATTCATTGAAAAAAATTTTAGTGGGCATACTGTGTGCCAGGAATTTCCTTAGG